ATAATGTATTTAAGAGCATTATATTTTTGATTATAATTTACTGAATCTACTGTATTTTACATAAAAGCAAATTAATTTTTAAATTAATAAAATAAATTAATAAATAAATGTTAAACAATAAATTATTTTATTTTTAATAGACAAACAATAATAACAAATTATTATATTATAATATTATCTTTTATTGCATGAAAATAGATAATAAAAATATATATATAATAATGTTTTCATACATATACAGTAAACATTGCCGCTTATAATATATAATTTAATACAATACTTATATAATAAAGCATATCATAATATATAAATTTATATTTCTAGCATATTTCTATATATTCACTTATATACTAAACAGTATATGTATATATATATACTGTACTTTATATATATATATATATATATATATGTGTGTGTGTGTTTGTGTGTGTGTGTATTGTACAATATATACTGTATGATAATGCATAATAATGATAATTTTATGTCTACTATATCTTACAATTTTTCTTAATATCTGTCTATCTATCTATCTGTCTGTTTATCTGTCAATAAATAATATGTTTTAAAAGAACTGGTGTTTCACTCATGTATTACAGTATATTATAGACTATATATATATACTGTATGTTTGAAACACACATCCATTAAATAATGGGACTCATTGTAAATACAGTACATTGTATTACCGTAAGAGTAAATATTGTAGAAAAATATGGCAAACGTTATACAGTATTATATATAAATATATATATAAATATATATATAAATATATATATAAATATATATATAAATATATATAGTATATTGAATCACAATTTCCATTTGTATTTATATTTAAAGCATTAAACTATAGTCAACATAAACTTAATTATTGCTGTTATAAAATTTTCTAAATTAATATTTTAATTAGTTTGTAATTAATTAATAATAATAATAAAACACATAATAATTAGCTTTATTATTATTATTATTATATATAGAGTATATTACACTAAAATAACTAATTAAAAACAATAGTGCTAACATTAAATTTTAATTGTTTATGTCGCTTAATTTAAAAAAAACTATTTTTATTATTTAAAAAAATATAAAACTAAAATTATCATACAATATTATAAAAATAATCGTTTAAGCAAATAATTTATATGAAAAAACAATATACTATCAACATTTTAAATATTAATTTGAAAAATCAAATAACAAGTTGACATTAATTTTCTATTAATTTATAAACTGTCAAATTTAATAGAGTCTAGAAAATATAATTAAATTTTTTTATCAAATAAAATAAATTAAAATCAAACCATTTATATTATATATATATATATATATATCTATAGCTTTATATTAATTGATATAAATTGCAAGTCAAGTGTCATTTGAATTATAAAATAAAATTATATATAATATAATATACAATATAAAGCGTTTTTTTAAACGCAATAACAAACTGAATATAAAAAAAGAGACACTAAAACACTACATAATATATAAACGACACAAAATGTGAACACAAATCAACCATATATTTGCTTCACAATCCCATTATGTTTACAACAACAACAAAAATTGTTATTTTAAAATCAAATTTTGAAACTCTCAGTATTGTATACTATTGTAAGTATTTTGTATTGTATATATTATTTGCAAATATTTACAAATATTTTTTTGGAATAATAAATAAATAAAAAATATTTTATAAAATAAAAATTTAAAAATTTAAATAATTAGCATACTAAAACTTTATATTTACATTAGATAATAATTACTATATTAGATAATAAATTATTGTTTTAATTATATAATTATTAATGATTAATACAAAATTTATAATAATAACAAACAAAAAGTATTAAATTTAAAAAAAATATTATATTACATTAAATTATTTGAATTGTAAATACTTTCAAATATAATTATTTAGTAGTTTTCAATATATAAAAAATATCTAATGTCTTTTTTGTTATTTTATTTATTTATATATTATGAAAGCTATTTCAATGTAATATTATACATATCGTATGTTTTGTCAAACAACCTCCACATTAATATAATGACTGTAATAGTCATCGCACATAAATTATATACAATACTAATCTAATAATACAATATATTATACAATAAATATAATAAAATATTTTTTTGTTGATATACGCATTATGTATATAATGTTGTGTAAAACATTTATATATTTATAAATATTAGTTGTTTTTAAGATTATTATGTAATATAATATATAAAATTGTAAATTTAATTAGTTATTAATTTTTAGCATAGAAAATTATTAGATAAGCAAATCAAAATTAATAAAAATAATGATAACAATTTTAAAAACAATTTAATACAAATAATTACTTTCTTTTTTGCTGTATAATAAATAAAGTATATAATAAATTTTAATATTAATTATAAATAAATTGCATGCATTATTTTCAAAATATGTCATTTAGTATACAATTATTATACTAAATAATATAAATACTGTATATGACATAAAATACAGTATAATATGAATAATACATATAAATTGTATTAAAACTGTTATATATTTTATTAGTGGCTTTTCGTTAAGTCCTTACTTTTATTGCTCTCTAACTTATTGGTTATAACTTCTCTATAATAAACTACTGAACTGTATTTATCCTCAATCCTAATGTATACTGAAATTACTGAATAATATTTAATATCAAACCGTTTTGAATAATTTACTGCTTTATCAGTGTAAATATATATATATATATATATAATATAATATAACTATTTAGATATTAGTCAAGTATGATATAAGCCATTTTGTGGCAATCATATTATAAAAATGTATTATGTTTTCAAAAAATGTACATGATTAGTACTCTATTTTGTATAATAAAAATAAATATATACATAAAGTCATAAATATTTTAATTTTAAATAATATTTCATTAAAAAAATGTTTATATATAAAATCTAATAAAATATGATATTATAACTACGGTAACTTTAATATGTTACATATTATTATTATAAGTTATTTTATTAATATTAGTTGTATAATTTCAATTGTATTTATGTTAACATTTTACTGTATGTTTGCAAGACATACATACTGTAGTAATATGAATAACATGTCTAATATATCAAATATCCACGAACTTAGAGATAGAGAGGAAAATGCGTGTATATATGTATGTGTATGTATGAGTGTGTGTGTGTGTGTGTGTGTGTGTGTGTGTGTGTGTGTGTATGAGTGTGTGTATTAGTGAGTGAGAGAGGAGAGGTTATTGCAGTGTAAAAGGATAAGGAGGGCAACGACAACAAAGTTGATGGCAAACCTCATATCCCCTCAACATTTGTTTGATGTCTATTCGCATATTTTTCTATATAAGCGTAACTAAACTTAACTAATCACATATATATTAAATATTATGGACACAATTTTTTTTGTCTAAATTTATATTTTAAAATAACACATAAATTGCTTAACGGACTATATGTTGTTTATATTATATTCATTATAATATTTTATATTATAATCTCTTTCGTTAAAAAAAAATTATGCAAACGATTAATATTTAATATACTGTATATTTAGCTATATATACAAACATTTATAATTTACTATAATTAACAACAAGAAAAAATCTAAATTTATTCATTTTTTTATTATTTCTTATTTATACGATTTTTATTACATGTGCTGCTGTTATAAAAAACATCCAAAATGTGATAATCGAAATAAAAAATTTCTTTAAAATTTAATCTCATATGACATATCAAAGACTCATATTTTATTGATTGCATCTTAAAGTCTCTCTCTCTCTCTCTCTCTCTGTATTTATTTATTTAATTTTAAAAAATTGTTTAAGTGCTAAATATGAAAGGCGTTTAACTTTTTTTTCGGGAAAAACATTTTATAAGTACTACTACTACTACTACTACTACTATACAGTATATTACTATATATATATCCTGATGTGTTAAATACGGATATATGTGTGGCTAATAACCTAATATTAACAATAAATAAATTATGTGTTGTTTTGTTCAACAATTTATATATCACATCCGATAAACAGATTTAAACCTAATTTCAAACAACAATCACAAGATTTTAATATGCGCTTCAATATGTAGTAATTTTATATATCATATTATATATTATATGCTATATATATATATATACTGTATATATATATATATATATATAGTATATATATATATTTAAGGTGTAAATAAAATATATGACAAAAGCTATTAATTATTTTTTTCTGTAAATAATTATTATATAAATATTAATCATTTGCTTAAATTTATTAAACAAAAAAATAAATTATTTATGACTTATGATTTAATAAATATAGTATAGTATATATACTATAGTAGTGATACTAAAAATTTAAAACAAACAACAAAAAAAGCACACAAGGCTTGTGACTCTCTGTTTGTCAAATTGACACTAATTTAATATAATACCAGAGCTACCAATATTACAATAGAGGGCACTGTTAGATGTTTAGTGGGGGACAGTCATGCAGTGTGTGTGTGTGTGTAGTGTTGAATGCAATGCAGTCCTACAACCAGTTTGTTGTATGCGTTCGCTCACAACGTATCGCAGCATTACTTTACAATCAAACTTGTGTTTCATTTACTGTAATATCGCTTTAATAATATTAATAATAAAATAATAATAATAATAATACTAATAACTACTGTGCTATCATTGGCTATAATAATATTTCGATAATAATAATATTTAATATCAATAAAACTGAATAAAACAATATTTAAAAAAAATTATTTATTAATATTAATAATATTTGTTATTAAATATTGGGAAAAAAATATTAATATTTGTTTTATTTTTTTTCTCTACAATATATACCAACAATTTTAGTGTAATTTTATTGATAATATTAATATTAAAATAATATATGATATAATAATAACAACAATAATAATAATAAATAAAATATTTGAAAAAACTTTATATGACATTAAAAAATAGTTTAAATAATAAAAATTTGTGTGGATTATTTGAAAGCAAACTGAGCATGATCATTTTGGGATTATATTATTATTATTATTATTACTATTGGACTATTGATAAATTGGACTAATAAAACTATATATAAATGATAAATGAACTTGATCAATATTGACATTTGTCTATTTTTTTAAATAAAAAAATTTGACAAAAATAGGAAAATATTATATATTGATAATTGAATTGACGGACAGGTATTAGTTAACTTTTATCTGTGGCAATGATACGTCCATCACTAGTGGGCGACCCGTGTGGACAACACGGAAACTATACCTTCTATAAGGCATTTCGGTATCAATTGAAAGGTGATTCTCGTATTAAAATCCTATCGTTGGGAGAGTTCTTCTTCTTGAGGATCAGTCCTCAAGACGATCCCTGTATTGGAGAACTACAGCTCCTATGGGATGACAGAAACAGTGATCAACTGTTGTCGTCCACTCGGCTCTACTTTTTGCCCGAACAGACACCTGAAGGACGACTGTCCACTCACGGAGAGGTATGTGTCTGTTATTATTACTCTATTACTGTATCATTAATTTGTAAACCCATTGCGCGCTTCAGCTTATATATCATATATAGTTTGTGTCAATATTTATGCCTCTATTTCACTGCTATATAAACTACAGTATAAATTTATATATAGCACAGTACAGTCTTGTATATACTATATATATATATATATATATATATATATATATATATATATATATATATATATATATATATATATATATATATATATATATAGCTATATTATATACAGTATATATTGTATGTATAAATATACATAAATAATATATAAATATATATATATATATATCGTATATATTCAGAATACTATATACAGTACAATGTATACAATACATGTATACTAAATATACTGCAAATATATAGATAACATATATATATACAATATTTATAGTAAGTTATACTGTATGTGGGTTTATATAGCATAATATGAGTGGTGAACGCTATCGTCCATATAATGTATAGTTTAGTGTAGTGTAAGCTATAATAATTGAATTGAATTAATGTACACCCTTTGTATTATCATATCACTCACGTTCAGTGCCTTATAGTTTAGTTATCAGTTATTATATAATTTATAAATAAAAATCATTTTATATTAATTATTAAAATACTATATAAATATAATTTATAAACATTGTGCAATTAAATATGTTGAAAAACAATTTTTTATTAGAAAAAAAATTTAATTTAAAACACATATGGTTTGTTGAGATGGTAGCTAATATATTGTATTAAAATAAATAATTCATTATATAATAATTTTAACTATTATAATAGATAAACATTTTTGATATAATAAAATCGATATTCAATATTCCAAAATAATAATTATAAAATGTTTATTTTTATAATTGTTTATTTTTTGAATTAAAAATATATTTATAATTTATTATTTTAAACTTATAAAATCTAAAAAAATAGTTAATAAAGCTTTTCTTAAAAAAACAAATATTTACACATTAGATGAGTTTATGTGCTATAATATCTATTTAAAGATTTCCTTGTAATGATATTATTATTATTATTAGTATATAATATAATGTAATATAATTTATTTTTTAGTGATGTTATATAAATAGTGACTTTTTCACAAATCCTTTGAGATAAATATAATATTATTTTACTCATATTTTATTTGATATTTTAGTCAATTTTTTCTATGTATTTTATTTCTATATGTTATTTTTATATACATTGTTTATATTTTATACATACAATAGTTTACACTACATTTTTATTTGAAAATATGCTTTTATTTAATGTAAACTTTTTTGTTGTTGTATTTCTATGACTATAAAACATAAAGATAGTGAGAAATAACAAAAAATACAGTTAAAAATAATAGTAAATTTATTTATTAAAATGAGAAAAATAAAGAAAAAATAAATTTATTACACAAAAACAATGAGACAAATAAAGGTTTAAAAATCAAACAAACAGTTAAACATTTTTATTGTGTCACTTAATTAATTAAGTTGTTTAAACTTTGGATATCTCACGGGAATAATATTTTTTAGATTTCCACGTTATATATAATATTATATATTTAGTATATATACTATATTTATATATATTTATTATATTATATACATATATATTAAGAACATATAATTTATTTTTAATGTATAATTTTGCCATAACGAAAATTAGTTCATACATATTTTTTTTATTATTAATAAATGAAACAAAATTAATAAATTAAATAATAATAATATAATAAAAAGTAATAATACTTTTATTTTATTCAGTAGTTGATATAATATCTTTATTGATATATATATATATATATTTATATTTATACAGTACTATAATTAATAGATAAATAAGCAATTTTAGTGATTAAATTAATTGGTAATTTTTTTTAATTTAAATATTTTGAAAATAAAAAAAAGCATTGATAATTTCTATGAAAAGCATCGCCTCATTATTAATGTTAACTTATAAAAAACAGTTCAGTATTTTATTTTATAGCTTTTAATAATATTAGACTCAAAATAATACACTTTTTATATTCATTTATATTATACGTTATATTTGATGATTCAATAAACTGAATATTTTATTTGATTATTATATAAATATAATAACTAAATGTTTGGCAAATTATTATTTACTATTTATTGCTTAACAAACTTATCATACTTTCGCTCAATTATATGAAATATATTTCTTAAGCATTAAACCACACAAATAATATATATATATATATATATATATATAATATAAGTAATACTTTAATATAGCACATGACTGCCAGTACTATACTATACTATACTGTATATAACATATCATAATAACCAATGTATTAGTCATCGAAACCTTCATTTGTTGATACGATATGCCGGACCTAACTATGCTGTGCAACGACTCATCAATTGATGTGACAAATGCTATGCTATTATTTTTGTTATAAGTATTTACGGCCAAAAAAACACAACAAACACAATAATGAAATTAATTTTTATTTGATCCTTAATTGAATTTTTTGTATTTATCTTTTTTTTTAATACATAGTATCTGATAAATTGCTTATTTTGATTGCGATTCTCTTACTATTAAAACAAATTATAATAATTACACAAACATGAGTTCAATAATATTTATTATTTATTAACTGACTTACAATATAATTTTTCTCATAAATTATTTAACATTTTCAATGTGACATTGTATTTTAATGCATGATATTTATTAAATATTAATTAGTTAATTATTGTTATTTATAATAATATTATAATAAGTTTGAATATGATATTTAGATAATAATTTTTGAATATTCATTATAATTAATTACATAATATATATATATATATAAAATATTACTTCAAATGTGTAATATCATACGGTATAATAAATATATATAATTAATTTATCAAATCATATATATTTAACTGAAATTATTTTTTATCTAAAAAAGTTTATATTGTATAAACACTTTTAACTGATAATTAAAATTATTGATTATTTGATGAGAAAAATATATATACATATGTTATATACATAATTACATATATATTTTTTTATTATTATTTAACTCTAAATGTTGAATATTTTTTACAATAATCCAATAAATTTAATTTACTAAAAATAAATAAAAGAGCATAGCTTTAGAAAAAATATAATAATAATAATATATTATCAGCAAAAATGTTTCAGTAAATGTTGTTTTTCTATCACTTGCTTTGAGGATTTCCTGACAAATAAATAATTATATTATTATTTTCAAATGTGTTTTATTTTATATATAAATAGTATTATGTATTATTGCTATGCATGAATAATGGGTACTGTTTTTTATATCATAAATTTTTTGTATGATTTCTATTTATTATGCGATTAATCAGTGAAAATAAATGCCAAACGTATAATATTATTATTATTATTTTATTGAATTACATTACGCTATATTTATAATATTTATTTATAAAATAATTTTTATTATCGTCAATATATTTATGACATAACAATAAAAATATGAAATATTATTGACACAAAAATAATCCAACAATATAATAATAATAATAGACTACTTATGATATATTATAATTTTCAATTATCAATTTATATTAATATATTTGTGATATATTATAATATTATTTAAGTGAATTGATTGTTTTATTTGTAATGAATTATCAAAATTAATTGCTTTTTTGTATTAAACATATGATAGTTAACAAAACAAAAAATAACTAATAATAAGTCAGTGTTTATATAGCGTGTCTATAGTAGCGTATTTATCAAATTATAATAACAATTGTATCAAAATATGTTATTACGTATGTATATTACAATATATATATATATATTATACGATATTTATAACATTTATAAATATGGAGGATACATTTATAATATTGATTAAAAAATATTAAAAAATAATATATATATAATATTAATATTAAACTTATTTTGTTTTTGTTGTTGACTTATTTGATTGTATATTTTGACGATTTTGAAGCCATTAACTGATAATTTAATATAACAATTGAATCACTTGAATGGACAACAATTTATTTATTATTTTTTTGTTAGTTTAATAACATGTCATTATACAGTATATTTTAGTGCATTTAACTATTTGCTGTTTTTATTGTTTTATGCATAATATACTATCTTTTATATATTTTTTCTTTAAAAATTTATATGTAAATATTATGTAGACATAAAAAAATATTATAGAGTAAAATGTATAGTTTATTATATATGAATATATAGGGAATTATATAGATATCTCTGTGATTTGTTAGGAAATTGTTTGAAATAAATGAAAAGAGTTGAACACAAATTGATTGATGTATTTATTACAGATAACAGACCAACGATTGCATTACTAGACATTATAGCAGTATAACAGACAAAAAATATATAACAAAGAATTTATGTAATGATTAACAGCACATATACTGTACTCTTATATACATACATATAATATTGTAGCCATATATACATTATATGTGTGTATATACGAGGAAAGGGAGGGCAAGTTAAGCTAAAAGGGAGCACTGGCAGTGCATTTGCGCTGATTTAACATTTATTATTATATTATATTATATAAACAACGTTAGTAGTCTTATTATTGTAAGAAATATATTTTATTATATACTGTATGTGCAGTATATTGATATATAAATTTATATATAGGAATATATATATATATATATATATCATAACAAATATATTTATACTGATAACAATTATTGAGAAATTTAGATAAAGAAATATTTAATTTTTAGTATACATTATATACTATTTATAATATTAAATATATAAGAAATAAATCTTATAATATATATATATATATATATATATATCTAGTTAATGGTTTATTACTAGTTTATATGGATAATAATAATAATAATAATAAAAAATAATAATAAATGGATTTGAATAATAATTTATAATAATTTAACGCAAAAATGGATATTTGGAGCACAAATTGGTTAAATAATAAATTTTTAACACAAA